CGAAAGAAACTCAATCGTGAAGTCATAGTTACTGAGGGCGAGTGCCCACCTGAAGACTTTGCCGGTGTCGACGTTTGTTAGGTAGCGGAGATTGTTGTGGTCCGCGCGCACGACGAAGTGCGCCAAGCTGACATAGTCGCGCCACTTCTCTACCGCCCACTTAACTGCGAACAGCTCCCTCTCTCGCGTGTCCCAGCGTCGCTCCGTGGGGTTGAACTTCCTACTAGCAAACTCTAACGGCACTTCCGCGTCACCTTGACGCTGCTTTAGCAGAGCTCCTACTCCCAGTTCGGAGGCGTCCGTCTCGATTATGTAGGTTCCTGTGGGGGTTGGTGCGTGCAGAGTGACCGTGTTCTGTACTGCTTCTTTCAGGGCCTCGAAGGCACGTTCGTGCGCTGGCTGCCACTTGAACTCGGCGCCCTTCTTCAAGAGGTCGAACAACGGTGCCGTCGTGTCCGACGGCGAGAGATGAACGGCCGCAGGTAACCACACATGCCCAGGAAGCTCTGAAGACCGCGTCTGCTCTCTGGTCTCGGCGCTGCTACGATAGTTTGTGTCTTCTTCTCTTGGACCTTGATACCATCCGTGCCGACCACGTGTCCTAAGTACTTCACCTGGTGCTTAAACCACTCGCTTTTGTCGAGCCGCAGGTAGAACCCAGACTTCCTGCATTGCTGCAGGAAGAGCTCCACTTTTGCGAGCACGCTCTCGAAGTCGTCGCCGCAAATGACGATATCGTCCATGTAGCAAAACGCATCGTCGCCGAGTAAGGGCTCGAAACAAGCATCCATGGCCCGCTGGAACTCAGCAGGTGAGTTCTTTACCCCGAATGGGATGACGTTGAATTCGAATAGCCCGATCGGAGTTATGAATGCCGTCAACGGCTTACTCCCCTCCTCGATCGGGACATTCCAGAATCCGCTGTTCATATCCAACGTGCAGTAGTACTTCTTTCCGGCTGCACGGCGTAGGTGGTCCCAGATGCGCGGTAGTGGGTAGGAGTCTGCCACCATCGACGCATTCAGCCGCCTGTAGTCTATAACGCACCTCCATTCTCCCGTTTTCTTCTTGA